ATAGGCGTCCAGATCCCCACAGAACTGAATCATATTCGTAGGGGTGGTGGGTAGAAGGAAAGTCCTCGAGATAGGACAGATTCCTCTGCTGAGTTAAGGAAGTGGTTGGATAGGTCAACAATGTTGCTAGGTGAGTTGAAAGTATCTGGAATGAGAGATCCTGAGGCGTGTAGGAGTTTGGATAGTTTATTGTCCTTTTTCTTCTGAAGAGAGATGAAGTGATCCTGGTAGGTGGTTTGTTGAATTTTAGAAGAGTCTGAAGAAGATGACATGTATGTGGAGGCTTGGTTTTTTTATGACAGTTTGCAATGTTGAGAGCTCCTCCTCCTGGATTTTCTTCTATTTGTTGGATGGAATGCTGATATGGTGGTTCCTGAGTTTCTTTGTGAGAGTGTGGCATAATCGCTGGCTGTAGTCTGTGGGATACGTAGATTGCAGTGGGTTTTTCACCCTCAGACCCTTAGGTATGATGTTCATCAGTTTGCACTTGGAAAGGAAGCTGTCTAATTTCATAGCCAGCCTCTTCTTGACTCCCTCATTAAGGGCACTGTCTTCTGCATGGTCACTGTCCGGCTGGAGTATGATGTGCTCTGAGCAGATCATTTCCAGAGAGGAATTTGTGCCTTGCAAGCAAACCTGAACAGCACAGAGAACTCAGGGCAGCCTGCTAAGACCTGAGAGAAACATTTGTCCCTTTTCTCCCCCGGTGTTGGTAAAAGCCTTTGACAGTGGACAGCATGTTCCCAGATGCTCACTGTCTATCAGCCTAGAGAGGAGAAGGGGGCAACCCACAGAGCAAATGGCAGAGTTTGGTCAGATCCTGCAAAACTCTGCCTGCCATCTCGCGTTTGCACTCAGGGCAGCCTGCTAAGACCTGAGAGAAACATTTGTCCCTTTTCTCCCCCGGTGTTGGTAAAAGCCTTTGACAGTGGACAGCATGTTCCCAGATGCTCACTGTCTATCAGCCTAGAGAGGAGAAGGGGGCAACCCACAGAGCAAATGGCAGAGTTTGGTCAGATCCTGCAAAACTCTGCCTGCCATCTCGCGTTTGCCAGAGGGCGATGGGGGGGGGGGGGGGATTGTGGGAGTTCCACAGGCGGCTGGCAAGAAGCTGTGAGTTAGATGGAAGGGGTGCTCCAGAGCAAACCAGTTGGTGCCCAAAGCTGGTGCTGGTTGCTCTAACAAAGAGCTTCAGCCCTGAAACTGACCAGCCCAGCTGCTTGCCCCGAGTCTCAAGAGTTACCGCCCAGCCTGGCCTGAAGAACACAGCGCAAAGGCAGGCAGCACGGGGAGCAGAGCAGCCTTGCCAGGCCTGGCTGAAGTGGAGACTGAGCCAGCAGAGGAAGGGGGGAACAAAGACAAAGGGCAGGAGCAGCCTGCAGGGAAGTGTAAGTAGCCACGGCCATGGGGAGACGCAGGCCCAAGAAAGCTAGTGGGAAGTGGGAGCATCACTGCAGAGTCTTCTCCTCCTCAGAGACGCCAGAAGGAAAGCAGGTGCTTGAATTTTCACATACCCATTATCACAGTACCTGGGCAAATGGCAGAGATGAATTAACTCCGACTGCCCACAGCAGAGAGGCCACGCAACTCCCCAGCCACGCATGGGCCAGAGTCGATTACATTCCTGGCCAAAAGATGAGTCCTTGGCCACGTTCTGAAGGTTACTAACCTCCGACCCCCAATGGCCCTACAGTGAGCGGAAGATCTAAAGTGGGGCTCAGCTCACCCCAAAAATGCACGTCCAGGGACAGCTATGGGAGCAGGTCTGCAGACGGGGGCTCTAAAGGTTTTTGCTTATGCTGAGTAGCAGTTGATTCCATAGACCCGTGGTCCCCAACACGGTGCCCGCGGGCACCATGGTGCCCGCGGGCACCGTGTTGGGGACCACGGGTCTATGGAATCAACTGCTACTCAGCATAAGCAAAAACCTTTAGAGCCCCCGTCTGCAGACCTGCTCCCATAGCTGTCCCTGGACGTGCATTTTTGGGGTGAGCTGAGCCCCACTTTAGATCTTCCGCTCACTGTAGGGCCATTGGGGGTCGGAGGTTAGTAACCTTCAGAACGTGGCCAAGGACTCATCTTTTGGCCAGGAATGTAATCGACTCTGGCCCATGCGTGGCTGGGGAGTTGCGTGGCCTCTCTGCTGTGGGCAGTCGGAGTTAATTCATCTCTGCCATTTGCCCAGGTACTGTGATAATGGGTATGTGAAAATTCAAGCACCTGCTTTCCTTCTGGCGTCTCTGAGGAGGAGAAGACTCTGCAGTGATGCTCCCACTTCCCACTAGCTTTCTTGGGCCTGCGTCTCCCCATGGCCGTGGCTACTTACACTTCCCTGCAGGCTGCTCCTGCCCTTTGTCTTTGTTCCCCCCTTCCTCTGCTGGCTCAGTCTCCACTTCAGCCAGGCCTGGCGGACCCCAGTCTGCTCCTAAGGTAGCCTCCAGCACAGCTCTTCTCCAGAGGGCATCTGCCCATCCTCCACTTGCACTGCCTCGCCAACCAGCGAGCCTGTCTCTAGGGGTTCCCACGCTGCTCCTGACTGACACAGGGCGACTCCGGCACTGGCAAATTGACACTGGCTTCCCAGCACAAGCAGAGATGTCTCTCCTGTCCATATCCTGCCTGGCCCTTCGCCTGCCCTGCCATTTCTTTTCTGCTCCCCGAGCCATGCCTTTTGGTTCTGTTAGCAAGGGGCCTACACGTATCCCACTTCCCCTCTGGTCAGGCCTTTCTAAGTGGGACAGAGTCCACCCCCTTTTGTTGCTCCTTGGGCCAAAGGTCCTGAAACATGCTCCTCTGGAAGTGGAATGCCGTTCTCCTGAGATTTGGGCCTTTTACTGACCCTACATCTAGGCCTAGATTGCTAGATTGGCCTTGCTTGCTGAACTGAATGCAGCGAACAGACCTTTAGACTCAATGTTCTTGACAAAAATACCATGTTACGAAAATAGCTCCATCTCCTCATGGTCCTTGTGAAGACAGTACTGAGATATGAATCAGCTGCTGGAGCAGTGCACGTGGGCAGTTTTGTTTCTCTAATAAACCCCAGGTTTAGAAGTCTGCAGTCCCTCTTCTTCCTCTTTCCTTGAGCCCTTTCTCCCAGCACTGCGGAAATGGACATTCCCAGGCTATAGACCAGGGCTACTCAGCATGCAGCCCACGGGCTGTTTGTTTGTGGCCAGCGATGCAGTTTGGGTTTACGCAGGCACAGCGATCCATGCGTTTGTTACATCCCGACTGGATTACTGTCATGCACTTTATGTGGGGCTGCCTCTAGAGAGCCTTCGGAAACTGCAACTGGTCCAGAATGCGGCTGCTTGAGTTTTAACAAACACTAGTTATACGGAGCACATTATGCCAGGGCCTCGGCAGCTGCACTGGCTTCTGGTATGTTTTCAGGCACAATTTAAGGTTTTAGTTATGGCCTATACAGCCTTAAATGAGTTGGGTCCAGGGTATCTGAAGGACCGTCTTCTCCCATATGAACCTGCCCGGGGATTGAGGTCAGCTGGGGAGGCTTTGCTTCGTGTTCCCCCACTTGTGGAGATAAGATTAACATCTACGCGGAACAGGGCATTCTCTGCTTTTGCTCCCAGTCTGTGGAATTCTCTTCCTTGGGATATTCGCAGGGTGCCAGCGCTAGCGTTGTTCCGGCGTCAGGCTAAAGCCTCCCTTTTTACTCCTGCTTTTATTGATGTTTGAGTCTGGATGTGTGTGTTCCTCCTCTCGATATGTTTTTAGCTGGTTATGTCCCTCTGAGGTCTCATATTTTAAATTCTCATATTTTACATTTTTATATATATTTGTATTTTTTGTTTGTTTATGCTTGTAAGCCACCTTGAATATTTTAAATAGAAAGGCAGGATAAACATATTTAAATAAATAAATATGTGGCCCACGGGTGAGAGTCTATAATGCTCTTCTGTTGAGATGCATTTTAGTAGTTGCACTCCTGGACTGGCATTGCTCATTCAAAGAGCTGTCCTATGGGTGGAAATCGGGTCAATGTCGCATTTTATTAATATCAGCAGAACCGACTTAAATGGGGCCTGCGTGTTGTGTAGCCTTGCCTTGATCTTTGTATTCATTCCCATCAGTGTGTATGCAACCACACTTAAGTTGCGGCCCTCAGCATGTGCTGTGAGTATCGTTGTGGCCCCCAGGACTTCCAAAGAGCACTAAAAGGGAATTCCCAAGCACATCTGACCAAGGCTCCTTGCAGTTCAGTATCCTGTCACCAATACTGTCTGGAGCCGTGTGCTTTAGAAGGCGCAGAAATCAGAAACCCCATAATCATGATTTAACTTCCTTTAGGGGAAATGTTTCCTATATAAGAGTGGCCAGACTGGGTCAGACCAAAGATCTTTCTAGCCCGGTGTCCTGTCTGCTGACAGCGGCCAGTGCCAGGCGCCCCAGAGGGAGTGAACAGAAACAGGGAATCATCAAAGTGATCTCTCTCCTATCACCCATTCCCAGCCTCTGACAAGCAGAGGTATGGATGCCCTCCCTGCCTGTCCTGGCTAATAGCCACTGGTGGACCTGTCCTCCATGAATTTATCTTGCTCTTTTTGAACTCTGTGATAGTCTTGGCCTTCACAACATCCTCTAGCAAGGAGTTCCACAGGTTGACTGTACATTTGTGTAATAAAATATTTCCCTTTGTTTTAAATCTGCTGCCTATTAATTTCATTTGGTGTCTCCTAGTTCTTGTGTTATCAGAAGCAGTAAATAACACGTTCCTATTTATCTTCTCCACATCTGGCATGATTGTATAGACCTCTGTCATATCCCCTATAGTCAGCTCTTTGACCAACTGAAAACTCCAAGTTATTAATCTCTCACATGGCAGCCATTCCATACTCTTAATAATTTTTGTTGCCATTTTCCGAACCTTTTCCAATTCCTTAGTTGTCTTGGAGTTTACTCACCTAATGATTCTGCTTGTTATGTTTCTAAACACAAAGTACAAACCTTTACCTTTTCTACAATGCTTTTCATTTCAGACTAAAAAAAAATGAGGAAAAGGAAGGAAAAAGGAAAAACCACAAGTAAAGCATCCTTGAAAGAGAGTATGGGGTGTGCACCTGTTGGCCGGCCAGCTATAAAAGGTATGCCCTTCTCTGTAATTGCAGGGTGAGTGCGAAACGGATTGTCTGCATATTTATACTGCTGGTGAACTCCCATTTATGAGCAATTTCATAGACTAAAGCTCTCTTTTCTGTTTGATCATCAAGAAGTTAGGGGAACAAAGATGAAATGAGCGCCTCAAAAATCTTTTCTACTAATCTACTATAGGTGTGAGAGTTGTTTGTCTGTGCGTCTGTTTGCTCAAGAACTCCTTCTAAACGGTAAGAGTTAGGGCCACCGAATTTGGTAAACAGTTTCCTTTTATCCTAACGTAGAGCAAGGGCAGGGTTTGGTTGTGCCAGGACAATGGGAGGTGCCTGGAATGGGTCTGTTTTTTATAAAACCATACAGAAAAGAGACAGAATCACCAGACAGGTGAAAGAGGCTTAGTGGGGGTGCACCCTCCTCCTCCATGCAGGACTGTGTCCCAGGCCTCAGCCTCCCATTGCCCAGACACCCTTTAGGGAGGGCGGGGCAGGCTAAAGTTTCCCCTGCCCCACCTGATTCATACAGGAACATTGCTGACTGTTCCGCACTGCCAGGGAGTAAAAGGAAAGTGCCCAGTTTGCTGCATTCCTCAGCTGGCTGGGGAGCGCAGGGGGCAGTTGAACCTGCACCTGCCCTGGCCGGGGGTCATGCACCCCTCCCCTGGCTGTGCCTACTGGAGCTGCAGCAGCCATGGGGAGGTGCTTCTCACCTGGCTTACGCTGCTGCAGTGAGAGAGGCTGGGGTCAGGGCTGGCCTTAGGCCGATTCAGCCGATTCCCCAGCGTGGGGCCCCATGCCTGAGGGGGCCCGGCGCCCAGGGAAGCGGCGCATGCACTGTGCCGTCCGGGGCCCCGCACATGTGTGGCCCCGCCCCTGGAATCAGGCCCCGCGCTCTGTAGAGCCGGCCCTGGCTGGGGTAGTAACCTGAACCTGCCCAGACTGCAGACTGAACCCTTCATCCCCAGCTCCACCCCAGAGCAATGATTTCAGTGAGGGAAAAAAATATCTAATTGAGTTCAGGTCCTGAGCAACGCTGGGTAAATCTTCTAGTGCAGCCGCACAGTGCAAAGCAGCTGCTTTTTCTGAAGCAGGGGTGGGGAATCTTTTCTGGTTCAGGGCCCGCACACAAGTGAGAGAAGCAACAAAACAAAACCAAACAAATGGTCATCGACATGGCCCCTGACTGAGAAGCAGAGAGACCCTCCCCACATCAGAGCTAGGGGGGCCCAGGCTAGTTGATTGTGTGTACTCTAGTCCCATGGAAGGCAGCGGGGGAGCTGGAGCGCCAGCACAGGAGCCCTGAGCCTTGGGTCCACATCTGGCGCCTGGTTCCTAGGTTCTCCACCTCTGTTCTAAAAGATCTGGACACAAACAGGCACTGCAGGCAGCTAAGTTTGCTTCATGCCTGCAAAGTTCAGGGCTCTCTCCCCTCTTTCTAAAGAGCTGAGTGTAAGTTCAGATACCCTGCCTATTACATATTTCAGAAGCTTGCTGGGTTTGATTCCTTACAGCTGAAGTTAATAGAGAAAGAAAGGGGATTAGTTGTTCTATTCCAGATGGCTGGAGATTGTGTCTCCAAAGGCTTTGTTTTGGTATTTTGCAAAAATTGTTACGAGAGAGAGACAGACAGACAGACAGACAGACAACTAGCTCCCCCGGGGATTGGGAGTGGTCACTGCCTGTTCTGTTTCCAGCCCGTCTGCTGGAATGGCCCCAGAGCAGACACACATTAATATCCTGTCAGTCTGCAGTCCCTTTTCAGTGCATTCTCTGTGCTAGTGGTAGGATGTGTCCCCCACTGCCTCTCCCCATCCCTGGATTCAAAGCAGCATCTCTTCTCCTTCTCCAAGGGGCAATCCATGTGTAGCTGTGGAGAGTAACTTCACATATTCCCACAGTCATTGCTGCATCCTCTTTGTTGCTTTGCAGATCAGGCTGAATGAACACCACATGTAAGCAGAAAGACATGCCCCACTTGACACTTGAGCTTACATGACACCATGACAATGTGGCACTGGGGAGGCCACATCTGGTGTATTGCGTGGAACGAGGTGTAACAGTAGTTTGAATTAGAAATCCTGATTCGAACTACCTACTCCGTGCCGCGTGTAGCCACGGGCACGGAGTCCGCACTAACGGGGATTTAAAAATGGTGGCTCCCGGCAAGATGCAAATGAAGCCCAGGATATTTAAATCCTGGGCTTCATTTGCAACTTCGAATGCCTACATTAGCCACCCTAGTTCGAACTAGGGTGGTAGTGTAAACATACCCTAAGAGTGTTGTCTGGGAGGCGCTAGAGGAGAACTCCCATACAACCGTATTTATTGTTCTCTGTGCACTTTTCACACACAGAGAAAGATGCAGTCTCTGGCCAGATGAAAGCGTGGACTTGTGAGTGAGGCTGCGGATTTACAGGCCCTCTGCGGCTACATCTACAGTGCACTGTAGTTTGAAATAAAATATGTAATTTGAGCTATGCAAATGGGCTGCGTCTAGACTGGCATGATTTTGCGCGCATACTTTTAACAGAAAAGTTTTTCCGTTAAAAGTATTTGTGCAAGAGAGCGTCTATACTGGCATGTGCCTTTGCGCAAAAGATGTGCTTTTGCACAAAAGCATCCATGCCAGTGTAGATGCTCTCTTGCGCAAGAAAGCTCTGATGGCCATTTTAGCCATCGGACTTTCTTGCGCAAGAAATTAACTTTGCTGTCTACACTGGCCCTCTTGTGCAAGAGGGCTTATCCCTGAGCGGGAGCGTCAGAGTATTTGCGCAAGAACCACTGATTTTGTACATTACAAAGTCAGTATTCTTGCCCAAATACTCACGGCCAGTGTAGACAGGCGGCAAGATTTTGTGCAAAAGCAAGTGCTTTTGCGCAAAATCATGCCAGTCTAGACGCAGCCATGGAGTATTTTATTTCAATCTGATTTTGAAATAGCTTATCTCATAATTTTGAAATAACCCTCTATTCCGAAATGTCCCATACTCCTTGTGGAATGAGTTTTACAGGGACATTGGAACAGTCAGCCCGAAATAATGGGCTTGCTGCTATTTTGGGATATTCCGGTATCTCGAAGTAGTGCCACAGTGTAGACATAGCCTGAAAGAGAAACTAAAATTCCTCTCAAGTGTAAAAGAGAGGCAAAGCAGAGTCCTCATCAGTCCATTGGCATGGAGGGTGGAGGAAGCACCAAGGGCTGTGCTGTTTCTGCTCTAACAGCAAATAGCCACAGAGGAGGCAGATATACCCCTCGGCTACGTCTACACTGGCATGATTTTCCGGAAATGCCTTTAACGGAAAACTTTTCCGTTAAAAGCATTTTTGGAAAAGAGCATCTAGATTGGCAGGACGCTTTTCTGCAAAAGCACTTTTTGCGGAAAAGCGTCCGTGGCCAATCTAGACGCGCTTTTCCGCAAAAAAGCCCCGATTGCCATTTTCACTGCTGTCTACACTGGCCCTTTTGCGCAAAAGTCCTTAGGAAAAAGACTTTTGCCTGAACGGGAGCAGCATAGTATTTCCGCAAAAGCACTGACAATCTTACATGAGATCGTCAGTGCTTTTGCGGAAATTCAAGCGGCCAGTGTAGACAGCTGGTAAGTTTTTCCGCAAAAGCAGATAATTTTGCAGAAAAACTGGCCAGTCTAGACCCAGCCCTAGGGGCCTACCTGACATTTTAGGCCCTAAGTCCAACATTTAGACACTAAGCCTCAGCTGTCACCAAGCCTTGAAGGTGCCTAGTAGGGCTGCCAACTTTCTGATTGGAGAAAACGAATTGCCTTTCCCCGAGCTCTCCCCTTTGATATTTGCTCTCCCCAATCTTGCTCACTCATTTTCACCAGGCTGGGCAGGGGCTGGGGTACAGGAGGGGGCAAGGGTGTAGGCTGTGGGATGGGGCTAAGAGGCTTGCGGTGTGGGGGGGGATCAGGGCTGGGGGTGAGGCTGCGGGTGTTGGAGTGTGCAAGGGGGCATCAGGCTGAGGGAAGGGGTTGGGGTGTGGAACAGGCACGGGCTCTGGGATGGGTGTTCAAGTCCCATGGTGAGATCAGAATTGAGGGGTTCAGGCTGCTGGAGGAGGCTCTGGGTTGGGGAAGGAGGTTGGGGTGCAGGTTCCAAGTAGTACTTATCCAGGCAGCACTCAGGAAGCAGCTGGCATGTCCCCCTGGCTTCTGAGCCAATGGGCGGCCAGGGGGCTCTGTGTGCTGCCCTTGCCTACAGGCACCGTCCCCGCAGCTCCCATTGGTCACGGCTCCTGGCCAGTGGGAACTGTGGGTGCTGGCTGCTTCTGGCTGCTGGCTGGAGCTGGCCACTGCAGCCAACCAGACTTCTAGCGGCCCAGTCAAAAGCTGACCAAAGACCAGGCAGTCCAGTCAAAAGCTGGACACTTGGGAACCCTCAATCATGCCGATGTTTCTGCCAGTGAGGTTATGCGTAGCTGCCCCAGTCTGGGGGTCTGAGTACCTGCCTCCTGCCCTCACCCCAACACTTGATCCAGTTCCTCAAGCCCCAAAACTAGAGAGACAGCACCCAGGAAACCAAAGCACAATTCCTGGCATTCCGCACCACTCTTCCCCCAGAGCTAAGCTCCCGGGTGTGCCATTGAATTCACCCGGTGGTTCCTGCACCAAGCCGATAGCTTGTGATTAAACGGGACCTTATTGTTTAGAAAGAGATCTCCAGCAGTGGAGAACCCATCCTGTTTCCCGAGGGATACTGTTCCCTCCCCAGCAAACATGTACACCACAGCTCCAGCCTGCTTCAGCTTCTAGCCATTGGATCTCGGACTGCCTTTATCGGTCTTGTTAAAAAGTTTTCTGCTATTAGAAAATTGCTGGGAGATCGCTGACCTAAATTTCACCTCAATGCCTCGTTTCCCCCCTCCCAAACATGGATCTCTGTGCATATCTGAGGTCCTGCTCAATGTTTCTAAAGAGAGGCATGTTTCTAAGGCTAAGGACTGAACAGGGAGATATTTTCACTCACTAGCAACAGGAAACAAAGGTTAATTAATGCATAACCAAGATGTGCACTTGGCTCCCCAGTGCACAGACACTCACTTCTATTTTGGGTTGTTTATAAACAGCTTCATGGTTACTCAAGTTTGCCCTTTTCACCTCGCTCCTCCAAGATTCAGCAGGCTTTTGGGGTGTCTGGAGCTAGTCCTCAGAAAAGAGAAATTATTTCAAGGGTTCCTTCCAGGGTAAGGCTGAAACTCTTTCTTTACAATACTACCCACTTCTGTGTATTTCGCCAGATCCAGGAAAACTGATCAGTTCTTCCCAGACAAGGGGTATGGCAAAGCTAGAATGGTCCATAGGTGCTTCAAAGAGTTCTCATGGTAAATATTAGTACTCTGCTGCGAAGAACCAAGAGGTGTGGGGGAGGAGGAGCAGGGGCAGCAGGAAGATTGCAATGTCTAGAATCCAAACCTCAGCTGGTAACTATCATTTTAGCCTAGCAGTCTGGTCAGTATCTCTTTAAAAGATGCATATTTGCAATAGCATAATTCTCACCACTGCTTGGGTTAGCGTGGCCAGCCTTCCTCTGATAATCCTCCTTAAAGGCACTGGAATGTTAAACAAAAGCAGGCAAGCGCTGGGAGGTGGAGTGCTGTGAACTCCCATGCTGCCTTGCAAAATTAGCTGCGTAGCAATAACGTCATGCAGCTCAAGGTTCTAACATGGAGCTAGAAAGAAAATTGCCTTGATATTTATTAGCCACGTCCCTTTTGCACAATGTTTTGGATCCAGGCATTTTCTATAGTTTAAGGAAGTAAAAAAAACCTGGTCTTATTTCCAGTGAGTTGGAATCTCAGACTCTATAAACAGTCAAATCTTTAAGATGCTTTTACAGTCATTACCAGCAAAAGAAACTATATGCCCTTCTCTTGTTGGTCAGATTCTTCCTCACCCATGCTTTCAATTCTGTTTTCTGCCTGTACCATGTTTGCTTGATTTATTTCATCAAGAGCATGGGCTAGGGTGTTCAGAGAGTACAGGCAGGCTTGCAAACTACTAAGCAGAAAGCTAAGTGACCTCACCATTCCACAAAATGCAAGTGTAGCCTCAAATGTACAGCCAAAGATGATCATTATATAAAATCTATATATAAGGAAAGAGATTTGTGTAGTCACTTATTATTGCCATGGTATTAACTGATGACACAGAGAGCAAATCAGAAAGCTCCAAATATGTCTGTTATGCGTAAGCGATAGAACAAAATTAAATAATCATTGTAATTTTGCACGTGCTTCCTACCTTCTAGAGAATAAGAAAAGCAGCCTGCTTTTGATAGCTGCTAGGGCCACATGACTCATTGTGTTGTAAGCAAAACTCGTGAAGTCATTCTGCCGCTCTACTCTGCACTAGTTAGGCCTCAGCTGGAGTACTGTGTCCAGTTCTGGGCGCCACATTTCAAGAAAGATGTGGAGAAATTGGAAAGGGTACAGAGAAGAGCGACAAGAATGATTAAAGGTTTAGAGAACATGACCTATGAAGCCAGGCTTCATGAACTGGGCTTGTTTAGTTTGGAAAAAAGAAGATTAAGGGGGGACATGATAGCGGTTTTCAAATATCTAAAAGGGTGTCACAAGGAGGAAGGAGAAAATTTGTTCCTCTTGGTTTCTGAGGACAGGACAAGGAGTAATGGGCTTAAAGTGCAGCAGGGGAGGTTTAGATTGGACATTAGGAAAAAATTCCTAACTGTCAGGGTGGTCAAATATTGGAATAAATTGCCAAGGGAGGTGGTGGAATCTCCCTCTCTGGAGATATTTAAGAACAGGTTAGATAGACATCTGTCAGGGATGGTGTAGACGGAGCTTGATCCTGCCTTGAGGGCAGGGGGCTGGACTCGATGACCTCTCGAGGTCCCTTCCAGTCCTATTTTTCTATGATTCTATGAAACAAAGCAGAAGGCACGGAACTGCTAGTGCTGGCACTTGGCATTTTACAGATGCCGATCTCTAGTTCCTAACAATGCCAAGGTGGAGGAAGAGGAAGGATATTTGTTCTTTCCCACCAGGGATGGAAATAGAGGAAGTAAGCTAGCTCCACAATATTCAGTTACTGCAGCACCAGATTTGCCAAAGAGTGTGGCCAACAGCCAATATGCTTTGTCTTCCACAGCCTAAAGTTACTGAGGGCCAACGAAGAAAGACCCTGGCTCCATCATTCCTTCAAGCCACAGAGCAACTGACCTTGCAGTTCTTCACATCACTTCTTACTGTGCTCGTCTTTTCTGAAAAGTGAGTCATTCCCACAGTCTTTTCCTCCCCCCATTCCAACACAAAGTCCTTCCCGCACCATACACACCAGGGATGTAAAGGACTGGTTAGTCGACTAACCGATAAGCAAATACTTATTGGATAGTCGACAGGATAGTTGACGAGTCACCCCCCCCCTTTACTGCCTTTATCAGATCGAGGCAGGAAGGGGCAGGGAGACTAGGGGGTACTTAAAAGCAGCAGCGCCACGTGGGGACTCAGCTGACCTTGGGCTCCACCCGACGTTCCGCCTTTGCAATGTACAAGAGTCCCCAGCGGAGGCTCTCGTGCATTTCAAAGTGAAAGCACAGCATGGAGCCCGGGATCAGCGGGGCTTCCCACTGTCCCTGGGCTCCATGTGGCATTCCACTTTGAAATGCACAAGAGCCCCTAATGGGGCTCTTGTACATTGCAAAGGCGGAACGCGGAAGTGCCTATCAACTAGTTGAGTAGTCAATGGAAATTCCATCAACTACTTGACTAGCAAATTAATCGTTACTTAACGTCCCTAAGTACACTCCTGGTGTGAATTACTTTTCAAAGTTTCTAAAGTTTAACTTTAATGACAACATTCCTTGCTTTCTACTTTTCAAAAATTACCCTTTCTTTCCTCTTCCTTTATATTACAGATACTGTCTCATCCTAACTCCAGTTCAGTAGAGCCCTGTGCAGATACAAAATTTGTATCTGCATCTACAAAAAAGATCTGCAGATATCCACATCCACTCCTGTGTGGATACCCACGAATATAAAGCTGATATTTAGGGTTGGTGTTATCTGTGAACAAAAACTATGTGCCATCACCAAAGATGTCAAATGCAAGAAGAAGCAGAAGGCTTTTTACAATCCATTAAGAACCAGAGCATCTCCTGCAATCTGATGATTTAGGTTTCCAAAGGACAGCCCCTTAAATGCTGACTATCAACTTGGACTATCTGCATGACACTGTGGAATGCTGACTGTCATAGACCCTTGATTCAGATATTATTCAACTAGAAAGCACCTCTGCGATCATCTAGTCTGACCTTCTGCATATACAGGCCAATGGGCTGAATTAATTCCTAACAGATCTTCTAGAAAAACATCCAGTCTTGATTTTTAAATTGAGAGTGATGGGAAACCCACCATAGCCCTAGATAAATAAATTGTCACAATGGTTAATTACTCTCACTGAAAAATTTCTACCTTATTTCTGGTTTGAATGTCTAGCTTCACCTTCCAGTCACTGGATCTTGTTAGATCTGTGTCTACGAGACTGAAGAGCCCACTATCAAGAAATCGCTGTTCCCTGGTAGGTACCTAGGGCAGGATCCTCAAAGGAACTTAGGCACTGGAATGTGTAACTCCGAGGTGCCCAGCATAGAATCTTCAGCCCTGAGTTAGATGTCCAGGCTCCCGATATCAGTGAGGAGAGAAGCCAACAAACTGCCTAAGCTGGCCAGAAGTGAAGTGCATGCAAAAAGCCATCCTGTTATAGACCTGGGTTCAAGTCCCTTCTCCAAGGCTGTGTCTAGACTACATCCCTCTTTCGAAAGAGGGATGTAAATTAGACACTTTGAAATTGCAAATGAAGCAGGGATTTAAATATTCATTTGCATAATCGCGTCATGGCGCCCCATTTTGAAAGTAAAACCGCAGTCTAGACCAAGGTGTACAGGATCTTTCAAAAAAGCCTGCCGTTTTCAAAAGAACTGCATCTAGACGGCGGTTTTACTTTCGAAATGGCGCTTTTTCGAAAGAGCGCCATGATGCAATTTTGCAAATGAAGCGCAGGATATTTAAATCCCTGTTTCATTTGCACTTTCAAGGTGCCTCATTTACATCCCTCCGCTGACAGCGGGTTGTAGTCTAGACACAATGCAAGTGAGGTAGAACAGTCTTCCCCAGCCCCGCTGAGTGCCCTGACCACTAGCCTGAGATGCACACACAGGGGCAGCAGTGCTTAAGGTGGATGTAGGCACCTGAGGACCTTTGTCACTGTAGACCTTGGAGTCTGATCAAGTTACCCTTTTGTTAAGACAAACAGAGCAAGGCAGGATTCTAACCCTTTCATCACTGTCATAACTCTTCTTGGAGCCCTCTCCAATGTATCAACATCCTGCTTGAACTGTGGGCTCCTGATCTGGACACAGGATTCCAGGAGCAGTTGCTCCAGCCTCAAACACAGAGGCAACATAACCTCCTGTGACGTAGTGTTGGTACCTTGCTGGTTGCTATGCTGGGGCTGTGGGTGACCCCCACTGGTGGCTGTCTGTAGCACGGCCCAGCAGGACAGAGGAGGAGTCACTAGGCAAGGGGCTCCCAACCTGTTCGACCAGTTGCCTCCCAGGGAGAGAAACAAAGGAAGGAGGGGAGGGGAGGCCAGCCCATGGCTGGGGGGCAGGGCTGGAGGGGACTTTTTAGTTGCTGTCTGGGATGATGGAGGAAGCAGCCTAAGCTAGGGGCTGGGATTTAGGGGCCCAGTCTCCCCCATCTCAAGGGGGGCTGAGGCATCCTAGGCCTGCCCTGGAACCAGATTCCATCTGTGCTGGGCTGTGTCCTGGAGATGCAATAAACTCCCTTTATTCTACTGGCTGGCGGAGCCTGTTCGTGCCACTACGGGGGTGCAGGAGGTGGGGGAACCCCGACAACCCTTCCTACCAGGATTCTGTTCCTTACCAACCTTTTGTTTTATGGTAGCAGGAATTCTTCATTCAGCCTGGTTTACATTACAAAGAACACATCTCCCATTGGAAGCCAGCCAGCCAGCCAGCCAGCCAGCCAGCCAGCGAGAGAATAAATTTGTACCTGTGGTACTAAAGTGAACTCTATTTTGCAGCCTTAGAATCTAGATGGGGAGTTGTAAAGTCCCGGCTCTGAGAGTGGGCAGAAGTCCTTTGGCCCACACAGAATATCCCATATAGACACTGTGGAAATCAGTGAGGGCATGTCTACACAGCAGTGCTAATGCCAAAATAAGCGACGCAACTTGAGCTAAGTCAGTTGCGGAGCATAAGTCGTAATAGCTTATTTCAGCTTTTGGCGCTGTCTGCACAGCAGGGAGTCCAAAGTAGAGCACTCTTCCTTTGACTTTCCTTACAGGGTTACGGGAGTTGGAGGAAGAAATCCTCCAGCTTGACACTGTCGAAATAACTTCCTGTTGTGTAGACGCAGACTGTTACTTCAGAATAACGTCAGTTATTCCAAAACAATGCTGCTGCGTAGACGTAGCCAGAGTACCCTGCTCTCACAGCCAGAGAAATCCTGCCACAGGATGTAACCCACGTCGGGCAGAAATATTTCATTCTTTGTTTAGGTATCAGATATCTCATTTGTTCATTCTAAATCTGCAGTTTTCTTCCCCTTAATATTCTGGCAGCATCCAGAGGCCACAACCAGCATGGAAGCTTTATGAAAACAAATGCTATACAAGTACGTAAGAAGACAGTTCCTGGCTCAATGACTTTACAGTCTAATTTAGGGCTACATTACTCTGCTGTGAGCTCGCAGATTCAAGGTGTTCCTAGGTAAACTGGAGTAGATAAGAAATTAGGGCTAATACGGACTGTTAAAATGAGTGTGTCACACAACCCTTTACTATTCTTACATGGTTTATATTCTGCAGTCCTGTTGTTTAACACCTCATACAGGTGGGCTGGGACATGGAAGCTTGCAGACACATCGGGGGGTCTAAATTTCACACTTTTGGGTGCTGATCCAGTTTGCCATAGCAAAAAATAAAAACAAAAATGTGCAGAGAATGGCAAATATGAGCCAACCTTTCCCCACCCACCAAACACTAAAGCCAGTTCTCGGCATCTCTTTTCCAGAGGCTTACAAAGGTTGCAGAGAAATGGAACTGGCTTCCATCAAAGCTGCATACTTGTATGGGAGGCACATGACACGAGCAAGCCATTGAAAGAGAGAAATTCAGAGTCCCTGAGAAAGTGATGAGATTCTCCAGGTAGAGAGGAAAAGAAAAGTGAATAGAAAGGAAGTTATAATGAATCCAACCCCACCGAAGAGTGAATGCCAGCTGAGCTATAGTCACAGTAAAAAATCACAAGCCAGCTGGCTAAGTGCATTGCAGCCCGTATTCCCTGGAAGTTGGCATTTGTGCGGCCACTCAGGAGATTCAAATGCTGCCCAGTTGAATTAGTGGAACACCCACACATAGATTTTTTGTTTCTACTATTGGTGCACATACAAATGTGTTCTGCACATAGATGGAAGACTGGAAAAGATTAGCGGGAACCTTGGCTTCAGCACCTGCTTCTGACACCTCCCATCTTTTCTGCTAGTCCAAGAAATCTTGCAAATATTTAGAGTCATAGAGTCAAAGACTCCTAGGACTTGAAGGGACCTCGAGGAGTCATCAAGTCCAGTCTGCTCCCTCACAGCAAGATCAGGCGGTCAGCAGTGTACAGCATGCATGTCATAAGTGGCACGTGAGCTGATTTTCAGCGGCACACTGGGCGGGAGCTCAGTCCTACCCTTCCCCTGTGCAGCCGCCGGAGAGCTCTCTCTTCCCCGCAGAAGGTTAGGCTGCAGTGGAAGGAGGCAACACTGGGACTGAGGCTCCTGAGAGGCACCTCTGGGGCCGGCCTGAGACACGTTGCCACAGCAGCATCACCTCTAGCTTCTGACTGCCCCAGAGGTGCCACAGGTCCATGACTGGCCCAGGATTGTGTGGTTGCAGCAGCGGCGCCTCCCTTGTGGCCATGGCAGCCAGGCCTCCAGCCTCAGGGGCCAGCCCCAGACTGCGTGGCCATGGCAGTGGGGCCTCCAGCCTCATGCCCAGACCTACACACCCCAATCTCCCTCCCTTACTCCTCTCCACCCTGCCACGACCCTACACCCCAGCTTGCTCTGACACCCTCCTTTGTTCCTGCACCCTCCCTCCCAGCCAAACATCCTACCCCCATCCTGCTCCTGCTCCTGCTCCTGCTCCTGCTCCCTCCACCTGGCCACACACCCTACTCCCAACCTGCTTCTGTGCCCCACTTCCCTCCCAGATCCTGCACCTCATCCCTATCCTACTTGCTGGCAGCCCTATCTCGCACACTGGACCCTGCATTTTTGTCCCTACCCCAGAGCCTAAGGGGGTCCATAAAAATCCATTTGGCCTATGGGAAACCCTGAACCTCAGCCTCCCTGCCCCTTCCCCTCATCCTGTGAGGCTGGAGCACCGGAGGAGTGAGGTGTCTCACTTGGGGGCCACGTTAGTGGGGATTGGGGTTTTTTGGAGGAGTTTTTTTGCTTCTCACTTGTGTGGTCCCCAACTGATTTTTTTGTGGGTCAGTGACCTTTGACCCATGCCATCAATAAAACATTGAAACCTTTTATGTTGGACAGAATATTTTACTTTATTTAAAATGAAGTTTGATAAACTAATATGAGAAAGTTAAAACACTTAATCTGTTTAAATTAAACCGTTCTCCCTAGCTGTAGTTGGTTCAGAAAATATGGTCACTGTACGCAGCCTGCCCCTGCTCTGCACCACCTTCCCCAGCACACAGACCTGTGAATAAGTTAAATCTTGGCACGCCACTTCAGAAAGGTTACTGACCCCTGAACTAAACGATCATCCCTAACAGATGTTTGTCTAACCTGCTCTTAAATATCTCTAATGCTGGAGATTCCACGACCCCCCCTAGGCAATTTATTCCAGTGTTTACCCACCCTGACAGGTAAGAAGTTTTTCCTAATGTCCAACTTACACTTCCCTTGCTGCAATTTAAGCCCAATATTTCTTATCCTATCCTCAGAGGCCAAGGAGAACAGTTTTTCTCCCTCCTCCTTGTAACACCTCTTTAGATACTTGAAATCTGCTGTTATGTCCCCTCTCAGACTTTCTTTTCCAAACTAAACAAACCCAGTTCTTTCAGTCTTCCCTCATAGGTTATGTTTTCTAGGCCTTTAACCAGTTTTGTTGCTCTTCTCTTGAACCCTTTCCAATTTCTCCACATCTTTCTTGAAATGTGGTCCCCAGAATGAATATGGCAAACTGGAATAGCAAGACACATAAACCTGTAGGGGAAAATTTTCTTCCTGGACATTAAAGTATCCATTCTTTTATCACCCTATTACAGAGGGAAGCAGCCAGATTGGAGTTCATTTACAAGTTCAAAACTATCAAATTAGGCTTGAATAAAGATCTTAACCGATTAAGGCACTACAAAGGTATTTGCCCATCTTTAATACTCGCATTTCCACATTAAATGCTATGAATGAGACACATCTAGCCTGACTTAATTAGCTTCATTAACACTGGCCCTACAATTGCCAGGTAACTGCTTTTGCTGTTATATAGACCCCAGATTCTGAACTTACCATTCCAACTATCTGATGGCTATCAACTATCTCCAGCTATCAAGAACGATGGTTTTTGCCCACAAAACCTCATGACTTAATAAATGTGTTAGTCTCCAAGGTGCCACAGAACTGTGTGTTGTTTTGAAAAGACCGGGGTAATTAAACTCTCCAAAACCAGAGTGCGCACATGTGGAGAAACACACAACTGAGCATTGCTTTACGATACTAAAGCAGGGAGGGGTAACCTACTGTCTGGCCAGCACCTTGCCTTGTCTGGCCCCCAAGGCTCAGAGCTCCCTGCCAAGGGGTGAGCTGCACTAGGGCTCCAACCACACAGGGGCACCAAAGCTGGCACCAGGTCTCTAGCCGTGTGGCGAGCTGAGCGTGAGGGATAGGCACTCCCCTGCGTGGCTGGGGTGCCAGCACTGATTTGCCCATTGTGAGAGGGAGCCCCAAGCCTCACAGGCCAGATCAAGGCAAGCCTCATGCTGCATCCAGCGCACAGGCCTTGTCTGGCGGGGGAGGAAGAGGCTCTGGGAACAGCAGCACAGGGAAGCTCTGTCTCTGTGCTTACTTGTAGGCTCCACCCCCATTGCTCCCATTGGCTGGTAATGGCGGCCCATAGGAGTAGCTGGGGTGGTGCCTGTAAGCATAGGGTGGTGTGTAACCACCTGTGGCCACTGGGAGCTGTGCTAGATAGGCCCCCAATCCTCTGCCTCCTCCCATCCAGACCCTGCACCCCAACTCCCAGCCCACTGCTGCACCCTACTTCCTGCCCAGCCCACTCCTGCACCTTATCTTTGATCTAGACCCTGCACCCCCACCCTGCTCCTCAATAGGGCTGCCAGATGGTTTCAACAAAACAACTGGACACACTTGACATGACATCACAATCTACATTGCATCTGAGTTAGAAAATACCGGGCGTTTCTATTTCCTCAATTTGTTTCCTGAACAGAAAGCTCAAATACTGGACTGTTCAGTTCAAAACCGGACACCTGGAACCCTGCTCCTCAACAGCCCCCCCCCCCACACACACACACTGAATCCCTCGTTTTGGCCCCGCCCCAGAGCCTAGAGGGGACCTCACAAAAACTACTAAACCCATGGCCCCCAGAAAATGTAATCTGGACCTGGGCATAAGCCCTGAGCCTCGGTGCCTCCTCCTCCTCCCAGTGCTAAAGCGCAAGAGGAGTGAGGTGTCTTTTTTTTTCTGCTTCTCAGTTGGGAGCCACATCTATGGGAGTGTTTTTTCCATTCTGCTTCTCACTTTAGAGTGAGGTTTTGTTTTTGTTTCTCACTGATCTTTTGTGGGTCACTCGCCCGTGACCCAAAAAAGGTTCCCCAGCCTGCACCAAAATCTTGAGGTGTGTTCTGTTGAGAAAAGCTGCCTCCCACAGAAACCTTGCCAAGCAATGTTAGCCTTGCATTCACTATCAGCGTCAAACAGAATACAAGTCCAGGTGGTAGCAATGGCGTCTAACTTCTGAATAAAGTTGGGATTTCAAGAATTTCTCTGACCCTGCTCCTAAAGCATCTGATTAGCTTTCTCAGCAGCCAGCCATGGAGCATGTCTGCTCACTTTCCCACACACCAGTTGCTCCTAAATATTAGTTTCCCTTCTGTATCCTAAGCTAGCCTGATGGCGTTCTCTCCAAGTGTCCCTATGTGCAGCACCAATACTGGCAAATAAGACTTACGTCCACTGACAGTTCCCTCTGAATAAGTTTCTTGGACTCCTTTTCACAATAGTTGAGCATTGCTTCTCGGTTGAACAAGCCAGTCGACTGCTTGTCAGTTTGGTTTCTTTGCCTGAGTCCCACAGGGATATTCCCATCTGGATCAGCCACATCCAACTCCTTTTCCAGCTCTTCCATCTCCTCTGGAGATAAAGTAGCTAATAAGCTATCAATATCTGGATCTTCACTGACTTGCCTTCGGTATTTTGCTACCCTGGACATCTTGTCAGTGGAGAAGAAGCACAGCTGTGACGCTACGCAAAGTCAAAGAGTGGAGGAAAATCACTGAAATAATAGATCAGAAGCTACTGCTTCCTCCTCCCTTTCAGGTGCTGAAGTGTTAAACCTAAGCAGCTCTAACTTACTACAGCTCAGGATAAATTGGTTATCAAGGGAGGACCTGAGCTGGTACAGCAGCTGGCCAATTACAGTTAGCAGCAGCGCAGCGTGGATCAGGAAAACCAACCACGAAAGGCAGGAGGTGGGGCTTCTCTGTATCAGAGGAGTTTGAAACCTGAGGACATTCCAGGGAATCTGGAAGAGCTTCATGACCAAATTTAGTACTCAACATTTAGCCTTTTAAAGGCAATGGGACAACACAGTGAGAAAACATACAAAAATGCTGCTAGGCTGGGGCTTTGAAACCAGGGAGGAAAGAAGAATCCAGAGCTGTGGATTTCTAGGATGTGTCCATATGGAAAGACATTAAAGCTAACTGTAACACTTCTTTTGCTTTCCCATCACAGGGTTGAAAGGTGTAGCTGGAGCTCACATTCGGTTAATTCCTAGCTTTCTGCTGAATTTGATATCAGTTTGCAAGAGACCATCCTATACCTGCACAGCATTTAGGAAAACGTTCATTTTCAGAAAATATTCCCTATATATATTTACAGTTCCCTGAAATCTCATTGGCTATGTCTACACTCGTGCAATCTCAGCAATTGTAACCCACACGCCTAGGCTATCTCTACACTCGCGGCTTCGTGCACGAGTAATATGCAAATGAGGGTAAGCGTGGAATATCGCCGAGCCTCATTTGCATGCCTAATGAGCCACCATTTTTTTCAGAAGAGGCTCTTGCGCCAGAAGGAGTGTCTACACTGCCCCTTCGTGCGCAAGAAAAACCCTCTTGTGCAATGCCATTACGCTGATTATTTTCAGGAATAAGGGCATTGCGCAAGAGGGGTTTTCTTGCGCACGAAGGGGCAGTGTAGACAGCTCCTTCTGGCACAAGAGCCTCTTTTGCAAAAATGACAGCTCATTAGATATGCAAATGAGGCTCGGTGATATTCCACGCTTAGCCTCATATGCATAGCTCTGGCGCAAGATCACGCCAGTGTAGACATAGCCTCACAGTCTCTCTTCCGTTAAAAAAAAAACCTACAGAGTTTTATTTGGAGGCCTCTATCAGGGGCGGATATAGGGCAGGGCGAGCAGGGCGGCCACCCCGGGCCCTGCACTTCAAGAAGCCCCGCGCATGCACCATGGTGCCACCGCGCATGCATGTGGCAAAAGGGGGCCCCACGAAATTGTGCTGCCCTGGGCCCCGTGAAATGGTCACCCGCCCCTGGCCTCTCTAATTCTCTTCTCCCAAAAAAACCCCCATGAGTACATTGGATATTTTAAGCTACTTTAAAAAAACAACTACAGATGAATTTTGCCTGTTTGGTACGTGTGTAGGGTGGGTGAACAACAGCAGATGTCAGAGAGTCCGAGAAACCCACCTTGTTTTGAAATCTCTTTCTGAATGTGGTACATGGCCAGATCTGCATCATTTAGATGACTGGAAGTTCACAGAGCTATCAAAAGTCAACAGTTTTATATTCAATCATCTTGGCTCTTAATCCTATTTTTATTTTATGGAAGTAATAGCATAGCTCTAAGTGACCTATCGCCTATATAATATGTCACAGTGAATACTTGGTGTATTAAAATATCTGTTCTCAAGATAATCTGCATTTCTGACCCCTTTGTGACTCCCTTGATGACACTCAGATCTCTATCTGTCCCTTTTTTCAGCACAGAGACCCACAACTCTCTCACTTTAGACCTGCAATATTCCTCAATTCTTTCAATATAAGTTGAACCTCTCTAGTTCAGCACTCTTTGGTCAGGCAACATCTGTGGTCCGGCATGATTTTAGTTAGCCGGATGTCTACTTACTATGGGTGTGGCCAAATCTCCTGTAGTCCCATAAAGTTTGTTTACAGCCTCTAGGCCTAGCTCTCAGTGTTCTGAGCTGTTATTTAGCTCTAACTTACCCCTAAATGTCTTCTAAGAGCCCAGTATGTAGTGAATGTGTCGGTAATGCTACTAGACAACATTGACCTCCCATGGTCTGGCAAATTCTCTGGTTTGGGCAACTGGCAGGTGCTGAGATTGTTGGAGTAATGAGGTTCAAGCTGTAGTACATTTCTCTCCAGGGTAGTGACAGGGTTAATTAGTGACCAGAAAGCAAAGTACTACTTACTCATAACAAAACCGTTACAGAGAAAAAATAAGCAGCTTCTACATAAACTAGTTTACCTAGTGTCACCAAAGTATTTCATGCCTCTCTGACAGTCTCTTGTTCAATTTTGGATCCAGGAGGCCTAGTGATCTTTCTTCCAGATCGAGGCTGTCTCTTGGGACAGTTTGTTGTTTTTTGTTTGCCAGGCCTCTTTCACCAGTTCAAACCAGTCTACACAATTTCCTCTGGGGTGACAATTCCAGACTTGTTACTATTTGAGGAGGTATTGAAGTGTGTTGAGCACTTCAGATATATGGGTAGGATAACTAGAAGGGTTAATAAACATAACACAGGGTGCGTCTACACTGAACCATTATTTTAAGATAACTAGTGTTATTTTGAAATAACAATGTGAGTGTCTACACAGTCATTCAGTTATTTCGAAATAACAGGCAGCTTATTCCGAAATCTGTAACCCTCACTCTACAAGGAATAACGCCTCTTTCAAAAAAAGGCCTGTGTAGACGCTCCACTGCTGCTATTTTGAAATAGCCCTTCACCTGGGCCATTCTGAGTTTTTTCTCCCCAGCGCCTCCTGGGGCTCTAAATCAAGATAGCACATCTGCATTAGGGAAGCCGGCCTGGGACTCATTTAGAGTCCCCACCAACCACTGAAGGTGCTAACAGCTCTCTGAGCTGTATCTTTCCTGTCTCAGCAATGTAGCTATTGACTTCAAGTCAGAAATTGTTTCTATCTGTGTTGCTGAAGTGCCCAACAAAGGGGAATCCTGATCCTCTTTGAAGCTTCTAGTTATTACCACAGTAAATAATATTTTCCATTAACCTAAGCTGCTTATGCAAATAATCTTCTTTTCCCCTGTAAAGTCATTAAAACAATAAAGTTCTATTTGTAGTATCAGCTAGTAAGAATTGGCTTACCTGCAAAAAATTGCTTACCAGTGTTTTCTCCTAAGTGCAAACTAACCTAGTTTCCTTGCCCTAAGGAGAAGCAAAAATTCCAGTAGTAACAAACCACATGAGGCCAAGATTTGGAATCTCATTACACTGACAATATCTTTTAAGTCAACCAGTGTGGATTCAAGATGGTAGCACAGAGCAAGAATCTCCTTCCTTTCTACAAGACAAAATTGCCAAAGAAAATAATAGATATTTCCTTGTCAAAGAAATAATGAATAGAATCCTAACTCTAGAGATATATAGAGTAGGTTCTCTCATTTATCAAATAAACTGATGCATTAAAAAGTTAAAAATAACAAACAAGTTCTTTGTTTCTTCATTTAATTGTGTCAAAAGAATAAGTGACTGTGGGAAGATTGAGCCGTCCACATAGAAGAGCTGGAAACACAACTCCTCTCCCCTGACTCACAGTCAAGTAATGTAGCTGCTAGAGTCTAGGGGTCTTTTTTCTTAGATGAATATTGTAGTTTGGATAAGAAAGTCAGTGGGCATGCCATTGTTCCCTAGACAAAGTACAATCTTACAACTGTGTGCTGCCCTCACAGGGTCTCATGTTTTATGAAGAGGCCTTGCAATGTTAGATGTCATAGGACAGCATTATGTCACTTATGAAGACATGAGTTTGGCTTACCATAATGCAATGTCACAATGTGAGGAAGAGCATGGGGTAATTGTTTTTGTCATGTGATGCTAAAGTGAGATATCGAGATGTTTAGGAAAACTGGACTTTTATGAACAATTCAAATAGCAACAAACAGCTCTGTGACCCAGTTCCTTCCATAATCTTAGACAAGGTAATTTAATTCACTACCTCATTTCTTGTCCCCCTCCAACCTACAAAAGGATGATAACACTTAGCCCTGTACAACAGATCACGGAGGTTTTTGGCTATTTTAATTAATACTTGTAAAGATTACGGCTGTGAGCTTCATAGGGACTTTAAATCATAATTCCAGTGCAGACTGTGAAAGCTAGATTGAAGTCATATAAAAGTTGATTTGCTACCTTATATTGAATGCCACTAATGGCAGTGTAACAAGTGACATTCATTAGCAACCTATCAGGCTTGGAAGTCAGAAATAAATTAGTGCTCTCTTTGCAATTTATGCATGGTAAAAGTTGTATGTTACCACATGAACATTCATACACATGCAGGCTAAGGTTGGTTGCAGTTTTCTTCTAACAGAGCAGAACGGGTCTATGTTTGCTTTTTGTTGAGTTAAAAATCAGAATTCTGAGCACTAGGGAGACCTCTTACTGTCATGATTCCTTCCTCTTTCCTTTCTCTTCCCCTTTCCTGTTTTTTATTTCCAGTTTTCATATCCCCTACTCATAACTCCGTTCATCTGAAGAAGTGACTTGTGCCCATGAAAGCTTATGATACCATCTACATGTTTTGTTAGTGTATAAAGTGCTACCAGACCATTTGTTGTTTTTTTCTGTAAGGGCACGTCTAGACTACATGGCTCCGTCAACGGAGCCATGTAGATTTGTTTGTTCGGCAAAGGGAAATGAAGCCGCGATTTAAATAATCACAGCTTCATTTAAATTTAAATGGCTGCCCCGCTCTGCCGATCAGCTGTTTGTCGGCAGATCGGGGCAGTCTGGACGCTCCCCTGTCGATGTGAAAGCCCTTTATCGACCTCCCCGGTAAACCTCATCCTACGAGGCATTACGGGGAGGTCAATAAAGGGCTTTCAGGTCGGCGCGGGAGCGTCCAGACTAGCACGCTGAGCCGACAAACAGCTGATCAACTGTTTGTCGACTCAGCACGGCAGCCATTTAAATGTAAATGAAGCCGCGATTATTTAAATTGCGGTTTCATTTCCCTTTGTCGATCAGCCTAATCTACATGGCTCCATCGATGGAGCCATGTAGTTTAGATACACCCTAACAGATTAACTCAGCTACCCCCTGAAGCTATTTGGGAATAGCTTATTTCGAAATAGCCATGCAGTGTAGACATACCCTTTGTGATCTTACATAGAATGAGACTTGTGACT